CTAAGTTTAACTGTCTGCTGTCATTAAACACGCAAAAATGGTGTAATTTTTTTAAAATTCTGGTCCGCGAACATCTCTCGAATCGACTTCATTCTTTCAATATCTGATAGAGCCCATTTATCCTTCAAAACCTGTAAAGTCGCATTTGCTGACATCTTCAAACACAAAGATTTATAACAGTGGAAATTTCGCATGATTTTTCGTTACTTTATTTTTCAAAATTCTGGTTCTCGGCGGTTATTCCTCAAGGGTTATTCCCTAGAGCAACCGCTAACTTTTACTCTCACATACACCGTTTACTAACAAGTTTATGAATATATGTGCCGCCGTACACACAAAAATATGCTTTCAATAATCTTTTTTGAGTTTGTTTTGCCTATTTTTTTCTTCATCGTTGAGCGAAAAAAATTTCATTCCAAAAGTGAAGGTGATCACCCTGCACCACCTCAAAATGAAAGTAGGGGTAGAATCGGCTCCCACTATCGCACCTCTGATCTGAATGCATTTGAACAGTTAAACCTGTCTTCGCTTAGAAAACTAGTATTTGAAAACTCCAACTTTTCTATTTTAGGAATTCATAGATTTTTTGCGAGTTGAAATGATGGAAAAGATGTGAAATAATAATAGTCACGGCCTGAGACAAAAGCTCAGGTTTTCGTCATTGCTCGATATTCGAACATAGATGCGATAAGGGGAGCAGGGTACCCTCGTGAAGGGAGTTTTGGCAAATTCCGACTTAGAAAACTAGAGGGGATAACTGAGCCAAAAGATGAATACTGGCGCAAGCTTACATGCCTAACGGGAGCGGGAGTGAAAAGAAGGAAAATAAGTGGTGTATAAAGGTGTGTATAATAATTTTCTCAGTGCTTAAACTTTGAAAGGTTATCTAACAAAGACTTTTTTGGCTCAAAAAAGCTTTATGTTTTATCAGTCGACATACCATTCGAAAGCTTGGAACATACAAAAACGATGTAGACCGTCTCTTTCTTCCAGTTCTCCTGTAAATTTCAAATATAAAAAATCATATCTAGCTCCAGCATCAGCTAATTCTATGCAATCACTTTGAGCTCCATTTCTGAAAGAAAAAGGAATGCTAGAAAAGATACGGTCTTCGTTTACCGGCAAAACCTTTGTAATAGGGTTGGACTAAGTGCGGGCATCTTCATTCACTTTTTGCATGAAATTTCCCCTCAAAAACACACGTGTTATTAGCTAAAATGCCGTGTAAATCTGATTAAAGGGGAGCTAGAGAAAAAGAGACGGTTTACGTCGGATTCCGGTTGCGTGAGTTTCCTAATTGTATATAGATTGTTGGGTGAAGAAACTCGTGGCTTTTCAAAGGTGGTGGAAATATTTAGTGTTAACTTGCTGAACCCCGCTCTTGCTTTCCATGGGTCGCCGGAGCAAGACTTTTTTGGACTGGGAAACTTTGTGCACCAACACTTTGTGTACCATTCGATAGCCAAGAACTTGAGGAATCGAATTAGACCGTCTTTGTCCTAGCTTCTCTATAAAGCGAGACACGAGCAGTTTTATCTAGTTACAATATCAGCCAATTGTGGGTTATGATTCGAAAGCTTGTGAAACAAGTAATCTAACTGCTCTTTTAGCTATTATTCTCTTTAAAAGAAAATGTGGTACGATTCTTGTCCGTAAATATGTATCCATCACTAGCCAGTCCAGATTTTCTACTCTTTCTTTCTTTTTTGCGAAAGTGTGTATTCGTTGTTACAATGTTATTCAAAGAATCAGATATTTTTCTAGTTTTTGATTGTGTTTCGTATCAACGACTTTAAAGGCACCGTCCACCCTAAGTTGAGGGTGTTGAGCTTTTGGCAGCATATAATAGTAGGGCCTTCTATCTATCCAATGCCCAAGTCGCGGCGCAAAATGTCGTTCGGAAGCGAGAAAATCGCTCCGGAATAGCGAAGATGCACGAGGACCCCCATCCATGTCCGCCCTCCTCCATCCATGCCCGCCCATTTGTGCGCGCCCATCCAATCACCGTTTTGAGAAGCCGGCCTGTGGGTTCTCCGAAACGGGGATTGTCGGGGTTTTCGCTTGTTTCCGACTTCATAATCGGAATCAGGGACATGAGAAGGCCCTGGAACGACAAAAACATGGAAGTCGAAAATCTGGGTGGACGGTGCCTTTAAGTGTGCAGGAGGTCTCAAGCATGCGTTTTCAACAAAACGCTGTTGTTTTGATGCTTTCCTGCAGTCTTGATGTCTGAGGAAAAGAGCATCTGGCTTTTAATTTTCAAGCAGAAAGTGCCGTTCTAATAGTGTTTAAATCTACCTTATGCCTTAATTCTATTCTCAATCTCAAGTGAAAGGGGTCAGCCAGATGCCATCCCAAAGTAAAGGGGTCAGAGAAAACTCTCAATCTATCGCATCTCTGTATTCGAATACTCTTCTGGCATTGCAGAAGCATCGGATGATTGTTGAACCCAATGTGGAAAGTGTGAGAGAACATGTTTTCAATTATTAGCCCTGAGATAGTACTAGATTACGGTTTTGCAGGCTTTCTCAATGAAGAGGATCGGATTTTGACTATGTCGCTCGTTACCGGGCCTAATGTAAACCCCTAAGGCTTATTTCCTTTAATGCAAACCACCATTCTGCGCAAACTTTTGAACACTCATTAACAAACAGCTATTGAATTAAACGCGGTTGTGCACTAAATGAATGAGGAAGTACTTTCACATGCCCACAAGCCAAAAACATCACGCCATACCTATCGATAAAGGCGAGGCAGAAGGCACGTTGCAGGGTTGTTTGGATAATGGTTTTAAGTGCTACATCGCTCAAAGTTTGGAAAGATAATTAAAACGAATGAGCAATTTTTTTAGGAAATAGCATAAAAGTTTTTTTTCTAATGAGAGAAAAAACCAAGAATCTTATAATCCTTGCCACCAAAAGTTAACTGTTTCAATGATAAGATTTACCAATATCGTTGAAATGGTTATTAACGCACCACCCTTCTCGAAAAATTAGTATGGAGAAAAGTCCATAACTTTGTCTAAAGAGTCGCACAGCAGATAATAAATATAAATTTAGAAGCAGCGTTTCAAGGCGCAACTAGCGGTATACAAGACCGCGGTTACCAAGCATCCCTCCATTGTTGGATAAATTTGATTTTGACTGCAAGATTAAACTCCGCGCAATTACCAGCATTAATAAATCACAAATTACATTGCTTATTGTACTTTACCAGCTTATCAAAGCTCTGTTTACCAAATTATTGTTCTGCAATCGAAGCATAAAAACGAGCTTAAATTCTTGAAAATGATTTCTTCAATTGAGGTCAGCATATTAGAACACAATTTTTGCGGATACAAAATGTTAAGTAGCCATTGTGGTAATGCAGGGTTGAAACTACTTTTTACGAAAAAAATCCTGACTAAGTGATATGAGACAAACAGTTCTTAGCCAACCTGATAAATGATTTTCATCTGAGTGCATCGCTGCCATCATACTATGTTCTGCCGTAGTACTATAGCTTCTCCACCATTTTGTGAATGTAATCGTCTTTTTCTCCTTGAAATGGTCTCTTTTTATGATCCAGAAATCTTCATTGCTTTACACGGTAATGCATTGTTGCATTTTTCAATTTTGAACAGCCTTTGAGTGTACTCCTCTATCCATGCTTTTCTCCATAAAAATCGCTCATTATTTTGAATTTCTTTTTGAACTTTGAGCGATGAAGGCTCAAAACCATTGTTTACCCCTGCATAACGTGCCATGCCTTTATCGGTGGGCGTGATTCCGTTCTCGCCCACCCAGCCAAGGCCCGGCACGAAGTGGCGTTTGAAAATTTTGAAAACGGAGTCCCTCTTGACATTGTAGAAGTAAGAAATACCTTTTGTGGTGTTTGTAGAAGTACGGCATAATAATCTGCAGCGAACGATGAGTGAATGGAAGTCAAAGTAGACGAGGAAAATTGGAGATAAAACACGAACACGTAAAAAAGGCGGTTTTTATATCACTTAAGAGTCGTAGCAAAGCAGAGGAGACGAAATTTGGGAAGGGTAAGTGCTACTAGGTGTAGTTCTAATTGAACAACAGATTATGTTTAAGAAAAACCTGAAAAGTTATGTGAGGAAAGTAAATCATGATTTTGGTTCCGCGCAACCTCAGGGCGCTTTCAGTTCGCTCGGGAGCAACTAGATTGTAAAAATTTACAACTCCTTTCATTCACATAATTTTGCCACAAATTTTCATTTTTTTTTTGATCGTAGTCGCAAAGCTACACACCAAATTTGGTGGCTTAATTTTGCTTATTGGTTGTTAACAAACTTATTATTTATTTTTATGCATTAAGATTGTGTTTTTACACAACAAAATCGTGTGCACACGGGTCTGAGCACTTACCGTGTTTGTGACGTGATAATCTACCAGTTACTTGTAAAAGGACCTCGGAATTGAAATAAGGGCTTACTGAAGGTTAGTTTTTGCCGCTAATATTTGGCCAGATTTCCGCGAATCGCTCCTGGAAATTTACGAGTTGCCTTTTGCTTTTCTCTAAAAAAAAAGACTTCCAGCGTGTGAAAACACCACCCCTGCTGAGCTTTGCATTTAGCTCACTCTTTTTGCTGTTTTGACAAGGCACCGTGGAGAAGCAAATGTGCCACTGGGGTGGAGGTCAAGATAAACGATAGCATGTGCCAGCCGCCAGCTGGCTACCCTCAGCACGGAGCTCCTCCCACAGCAGCTACGGGGTACGCGCGCGAGAGGCACGCGTTGCGTATTAGAGGGCGCATTTCCGAAGACTTCGAAAATGCGCGGCGCTTGCCTACATGAGTCATCAACGCCCACATTTACCATAAAATACTATTTTCTCTTGTTTCTTTTTCCTTGTTATTTTCCTGATTAGTCTCTTCATTTTCCCTCTTATAGTCCCTTATCATCCCTCTTCCATTTGTAAAGGTTCTGTAATGTGTTGTTCGTACATTGCTGTTGTGTCTATTGTGTTCTCATCGCATCAAGTTGTCGATTTTCAGGATCGATCGTTGCATCAGCCCGCACACATGCGGCAGTGGTGAGTTTTGTTGTTTAATGTTCTGTAACCTATATTATCGTTTCTTTTTCCTTCTTTGATCCTTCTTCTTGATGTTTAGTTCATCATAATATTCAGTATTGTAAGTTGCTGTTGTGTTTAGGAATTATCATGAATCTAGGCCTGAACGTGTCGTTGCAGACGCCATGAACTGCATAGAGCTGTCTAATCGGTTGGTAGTGTCAGGGAGATCATGCAAAACGTCAGCTACCAAACGCGCGCAGCTCATGGCGCTGCGCCATCCCGGTGGTCTTCTTGCAGCAGTACTTATGAAGCTGTGAACTCTGGAATTGTAGGAATCTTGATTCATCGCTAAGCTGGTAGTGTCTACTGGGGATATGGTCTATCGCGCAGTTTGGATCTTCCGTGGATCTAATGACACTAAGATTGGGCAACTTTCAGCTTCAGTCGCCATAACACCTATTTCCTTATCGTTTTCTGTCATGAAGCAAATCCGTCCCTGTGGACGAGTAATGAAGCATATCGTCTTTCTCATTCTCGTCTAAGTAGTAATGTATCAACACGTTGTACTTAAATCTTTCAAAAGCTACCTTCCCCTTCTTCATCCACAATGTAGTCCTCAATGTCTTCTCACGCTACTGTCGTCCCGGTCTTCGCTCCCTTTTTAATTTCTTGAAGCTTCTGACACTTTCTATACCAGCCTTTCGACCTTGTCTTGTGCTATTTCGCTGGTACACAGGAATGAGAATTGGTTATCTTTGATCTAGAAAAGTTGTCGTTTAGATGTGCGCATGTCCTGAGGTCCAATTTCATACAGCTATCATTGTATTCTTGCTGTCCACGGCTAGTCGTAGTGTACCTGTATACTTGGTAAGTGGAGTTCGTCCTTAGATGCCCGAAGATATAACAAGAGGACCTCTTGTAATTGAGTATTTTTGATGCATTCCATGCTGGGTTTGCTCGACCGTTGAGGGGATCCTTTCTGCATCAAGATCGTAGCCGCATCGCCTTTGCGCTGGACCAGCTGAATTTCTTGAATCAGCGGATTGACTTTGAGTTGCCGTTCCTTGCTCTTGCGATGGAGCCGAAGTCGTTGGCACTTGTGAACCTCCTAGGTTCTTCGTCAAACTCTTCAATTATTAAAAACCAAGAACAAATCATTTTGATATTGAGTCAGCTGCTGCAGCATTTGCATCTGCTGCAGCAAAGCAGCGTAGGTGATCATGTCCAGTTGAAAAGGTAGCATTATGGTAGCATGTTGGTTATGTTATAGTTAGTTCATTTTGTGCTTAAATATCCATAGCTTTTTATGTCAGTGCTATTTTGGACTCCTTCTGGCAGGATGTACTTCACCTTTTACCCTCTTTTACTCTCACACTTCGCTTTTGGGGCTTCCGAGCGACTTCACGCCTATATCACCTTCGATCATCTAGCAGTCATCTATCCAACAGCATTTAATGACTTTGCAACTATTTGACAATACCTTCCCATTATTTGTTGCAAGAGCAATACAAAAATAAAAAAGTAGAAGTAGAAGAGATAAAGAATGAGAAAGGTTAGTTACTGCATTAAAATGCTTCCAAGCTTTCTGGCATATCACGGATGGGTTCATGTTCTCATTTGATATGACTATCACCGTGAATCTGCTAGATCTATGATATGGTAAAGCAGATAACAATATCAAATAACTTATCAAATAAAAATAAATCAAAAATGAATAGTAGTTTGGAGTAAAATCTTGTAGAGAATAAAGCAGCAAAATAATGTAGATAATACTTGTCGAACAGTGTGTAGAATACTAGAATAACAGCAATGTTGTAGTGAATACTAGAATAACAGCAGAATTCAGAATAAATAGGAGCCTGGAAAAGTTGGTCCAGTAATCATTTATCGTGGACCAATGCAAAGTCTGAGATACGGTATTGTACGAGAAATTCTTTCGCCGCACTAGGGCGGAGCCTCGAGCGAACACGTTATTGCCAGTTCATAACCTCGCGCGCCACTGGTATCAACTATCGTTCATCTTGACCCGTGCCACTGCACTCCTGTTTCAGCGAGATTTTAGGTTGCTGGCTGGGAGCAACGCTGAAATGTTTGTCCGCGTTCTCAAAAAAGCGGTTTAAAGGCAGTGTCCCGGCAGATTTTGCATTTACATATTTTTTGCATATTTTGGGCCTTTTCGACCCGTAGATTCCGAATTATACTTTGAAACGAGTGAAAAGAACTTTTTCGGGGCATTTACCCAGTTTTTTTCTAAAAGGCAGCTCGGACGAGAATTTCAATGGAAAGTTGGGAGGCCCTGGCACGAAGACCCTGCTGCCTGTAATTTTTGCTTTGGATAGCATGCAAAATGCGAGAGAGGGGTCGTGGGGTCCCGCGCCGAACGGTTAGCGAGCCGTCCGAGCGCGCGCCGATTGGGGTTGCGAGCGCTGGTTCAAAGGCTATTTTCTCGGCCCAGAGGGGACATCAACCAGCCGGACTGCGCCTAGAGGACAGTGGGAATCAGAAACCTCAGCATAGCAATATCCCCTAAGGCGCGAATCTGCCGGGACACTCCCTTCAAAAAGAAGTTTTTCACGCTTTTTGCATTCCATATCTAAAATAAAGGCCATGAAAACTTTCGAGAATGACAAAAACATAGGACTTTCACGCAGCCCGTATACAGCTTTGCGTCCAACAGTTGGATTATCGTTGTAAAAAATTTCGAGATGCACCTTGACCCACGCTGTTCAGGTGGTTCAGATTGAACTTGTCTATCAATCAGAGAGTTTGTTTCGTAATATTTTTTTCATGTACCTTGCATGGAATAGAGTTCATACTCAACACGTTGACGACAGTGCCGCGCAACCTATGGAGACGCCGCGCGATGGTGCGCGGCGGCCTTGATTTTAATACTGTATGTCCAATCCTCTCAATTTTTGTTCATATAATCAACACAGGCTCAGTTGTACTTAATGTATTAGCCCCGCCCCTTTTGGCAAACTCCGCCCGCTCTCCTCCCACGGAGACCCTTTTCGTTCATAAAAAGCATGAATAAGGCCGTAGATGAACGCAAAGACTTCACGCAACTTTTGATTAGGCCCTGCCCACCGTCAGGCAAACTCCGCCCTAGGTGCATGCTCCTCCCATTTTCAAAAAAAGCGGAAAGCGAAAGCGGAATCGCATGAATGTGGATGCATGCATACATACATGCGGCCAGGCCTAGGAATGCACGGAAACGTCTCGTCTACAGAAGCAAACCTCAAATAAATGGCTCATCGTCAACATGTTGATTGTCTAAATTCAGTTATAATTTGTGGTTCGATTACCTTGGGAAAGAGGATTACAATGGCCTTACCTTCCAGATCCTGACACTTGTCTGTAAAGAGACAAATGTTAAGTATGAAAAAGCGGGACTAAAAGTATTTTTTCAAACAAAATCTGTGGAAGTCCATCGAAGGGTTCAAAAGTTGAGGGTTTCAGTTTTCAGAATCTTCGACCGCAGGAGCCATGATTGTAGGAGCTGTTCGCAAAATGCTTGCCTAAAGCTTCTGTTTTGTCTTGATCCGTTAGGCGGATAGTACCTATCGAATCTTTCAAGGCTCCATAGTTTCTTATGATCAGTTGATGGATATAAAAGAAAAAATTCTTGGAGTGCAGAGAAGAATCCAAAGGTTTTTCATAGCTTACGAGATATTTCCTAAGATGGTATTTTATATTAAAACATACTTTCTTGTACAATGGACTAGCATATCGTGAAACCCTACAAAGTCTTTACTTCTGGAGAATGAGCGCATGTGTGTGTGTGTATGTGGGCAGGGTATTTAAGATAACCAATCTTGTGGATTCTAAAGGTAGTGCAAAATCTATAGTCATCGGAAGAACAATCTTGGAAATACGAAAATACGGGACAAGTGTGGACTTTAGGATATCGAATTTGCAACGGAATTTTATTATATTATGATCACATGTCTCAAAGGGTGCTTCAACCGACATTTTGTCAATAGAATGAGTATGTAGTAGGACCAAATCAAGAAAGGTTTCTTTACGAGTCGGTTCACCGAATGATGTAAGTTTAAACTTACAAAGATTTCGAGGGATTTGTTGGTGTTCATTTATTACAAAAGTGGAAACTGTGGAGTTATCTTGGAAAAAATTTGAAATCGCCAACAATCAAGATTTCAGTAGAAGCGAGGGTAGTTTCTGCTTGATTGGGTAGTTTATTTGTTGTCGCTTATCTCCGTTTTAAAAAAAGACATAACCGGAACGTTGACTTAGCAAATACATATCGGAGTGGCTCAATCAGATAAATGAAATCTTCGTGAAAAATTCTATAGAAAGTCGCACTTTTGATCAAAACACGATAGGTTCCATTTGAATCGATTCCCCTTCTCCCCTCCTCCCCCCTAATTAATGATGCTAGAGAAGAAAACTACCGCAGCATAAGCCTCCAACAGATAGCTGCAACATTTTTGTTGAAATCAAGTAGATCGTATTTACAGTAGAGCTACAGTAATTTCAAGAAACAGCCGAAAATTGTGGAAGCAATTTCTAGATTCCGAGCGTAAGAGTTCCGAGAACGTTTTCCAAAACAGTAATCATTTTGACAAAATTTCAGCCATAACTCGCCAAATGGGCCACACTGTCCCACATGACAGCCATTGCATGACCCACCATATGGGTCACGTTGTCGTCAATGTGAAGGAACACAAATATAAATTCATAGTAAGTCTGCATTATTTACTTGTTCTAACTATATAAAGCTGAATGTCTGTCTGTATGTATGCATGTATGCGTGTACGTATGTGCGGAATAGAAATTTTTATTTCTGGACCGATTTGGACCAAACTCGGCACTCATACACTTCGGGACAGGGGGCGTGTCATAGGCTACTGCTATCGATAGTTATTGATTTTTTTGCAGAGTTCACGTACGGGGCTGGGAGTTGGCACAGGTGGGTAAGTGGGCTGGCGATTCCGAATACAATAGTAGTTTTCAGATTATCGATTACTTTTATCGATTTTATCGATTCTTTGCAAAGT